AATCCCAAATCCCCCCTAAAAATCCCAAAAAAATCCCCAAAAAATCCCCCAAAAATCAAAAAAAAATCCCAAAAATCCCAAATCCCCCTAAAAATCCTCAAAAATCCCCAAAAATCCAAATCCCAAGAAAAAACCAAAAAAATCCCAAAAAAATCCCTCCCAAAAATCCCAAATCCCTCCTTAAAAATCCCTTAAAATCCACTTAAAAACCCCCAAATCTCAACAAAACCCCCCCAGAATTCCCAGATTTTCCCAATTTCTTCAGATTTTTGGGAATTCCAGGGTTTTCCCGGGAATTTGGCACCTCCTGGACGTGGAGCCGGAGGCCGGGGTTCCCCAGGAGGGTTCCCAGCAGCGCCAGGAAGGCGGCTCCGAGCGCCAGCAGCGCGCAGCGGTTGTAGAACGGCAGCGGCTCCTCCTGCGCCAGATCCTGATGGGATGGAAGGGAAAGAAAAATGGGAATATCCTGGAAAATCGTGGGAAAAATTCCCAAAGAAATCCCGGGAAAAATCCCCCCCAAAATCCCGAAAAATCAAAAAAAGTTACGGAGAAAAACCCCCAAAATTCCTGAAAAATTCCAGAAAAATTCCAAAAAAATCCCCCCAAAATTCCTGAAAAATTCCAGAAAAATTCCCAAAAAATTCTCCCAAAATTCCAAAAAAATTCTCCCAAAATTCCCGAAAAGTCCCCCAAAAAAATCACAGAAAAAAACTCCGAAGAAATCCGGGAAAAAATCCCAAAGATTCCCGGAATTCCAGGATTTCCGTACCTGCAGGGCGAGCGCGAGGCGCACGAGGTCAGCGATGACGTCATCATTGGAATATCCCAATTTCCCCAAAAAAATACCATAAAAACCAAAAAAAATTCCCAAAATTCCCAAAAAAATCCCTAAAAAATCCCAAAAATCCCCCAAAATATTCCCAAACATTCCCAGAATTCCGGGAATTCCGTACCTGCAGGGCGAGCACGAGGCGCATGAGGTCAACGATGACGTCATCGCTGGAAAATCCCAAATTCCCCCCAACAAAATCCCCCAAAAAATCCCAAAAAAATCCCAAAAAATCAAAAAAAATCCCCTATAAATCCCCAAAATCCCCAAAAAATTCCCCCAGAATTCCCAAAGATTCCCAGAATTCCGGGATTTCCGTACCTGCAGGGTGAGCACGAGGCGCACGAGGTCAGCGATGACGTCATCATTGGAATATGCCAAATTCCCCCCAACAAAATCAAAAAAAAATCCAAAAAAAATCCCCAAAATTCCCAAAAAAATTCCCCAAAATTCCCAAAAAAATCCCCAAAATTCCCCAAAATATTCCCAAAGTTTCCCAGAATTCTGGGAATTCTGTACCTGCAGGACGAGCACGAGGCGCATGAGGTCGACGATGACGTCATCGCTGGAAAATCCCAAATTCCCCCCAACAAAATCCCCCGAAAAATCCCAAAAAAATCCCCAAAATTCCCAAAAAAATCCCTAAAAATCCAACAAAAATTCCCCAAAATTCCCCAAAATATTCCCAAAGTTTCCCAGAATTCTGGGAATTCCAAACCTGCAGGGTGAGCACGAGGCGCACGCGGTCAACGATGACATCATCATTGGAATATCCCAATTTCCCCCAAAAAATACCCTAAAAATCCCCCAAAATTCCCCAAAAAAATCCCAAAAAAATCCCAAAAAATCCAAAAAAAATCCCCAAAATCCCAAAAATATCCTCCAAAATTCCCAAAGATTCCCAGAATTCCGGGATTTCCGTACCTGCAGGGCGAGCACGAGGCGCACCAGGTCGACGATGACGTCATCATTGGAATCTCCCAATCTCCCCACAACAAAATCCCCAAAAAATCCCAAAAAAATCCCTCAAAATCCAAAAAAAATTCCCCAAAATTCCCAAAAAAATCACCAAAATTCCCCAAAATATTCCCAAAGTTTCCCAGAATTCTGGGAATTCCGTACCTGCAGGGCGAGCACGAGGCGCATGAGGTTGACAATGACGTCATCTTTGGAGAATCCCAAATTCCCCCCAACAAAATCCCCAAAAAAATACCCTAAAAATCCCTCAAAATTCCCCCAAAAAATCCCCCAAAAATCCCAAAAAAATCGACCAAAATTCCCCAAATTCCCCAAAATATTCCCAAAGATTCCCAGAATTTCGGGATTTCTGTACCTGCAGGGCGAGCACGAGGCGCATGAGGTCGACGATGACGTCATCGCTGGAAAATCCCAAATTCCCCCCAACAAAATCCCCCCAAAAAATCCCCAAAAAATCCCCAAAATCCAAAAAAATCCTCCAAAATTCCCAAAGATTCCCAGAATTCCGGTATTTCTGTACCTGCAGGGCGAGCACGAGGCGCACGAGGTCAGCAATGACGTCATCATTGGAATATCCCAATTTCCCCCCAACAAAATCCCCAAAAAATCCCAAAAAAATCCCCAAAATTCCCCAAAAAAATCCCCCAAAAAATCAAAAAAAAATTCCCCAAAATTCCCAAAAAAATCCCCAAAATTCCCCAAAATATTCCCAAACGTTCCCAGAATTTCAGGAATTCCATACCTGCAGGGTGAGCACGAGGCGCATGAGGTTGACGATGACGTCATCGCTGGAAAATCCCACATTCCCCCCAACAAAATCCCCAAAAAAATCCCAAAAAAATCCCAAAAAATCCAAAAAAATCCCCAAAAAATCCCCAAAATCCCCAAAAAATTCCCCCAGAATTCCCAAAGATTCCCAGAATTCCGGGATTTCCGTACCTGCAGGGTGAGCACGAGGCGCACGAGGTCAGCGATGACGTCATCATTGGAATTTTCCGTACCTGCAGGGTGAGCACGAGGCGCACGAGGTCAGCGATGACGTCATCATTGGAATATGCCAAATTCCCCCCAACAAAATCCCAAAAAAATCCAAAAAAATCCCCAAAATTCCCAAAAAAATCCCTAAAAATCAAAAAAAAATTCCCCAAAATCCCCCAAAATATTCCCAAGCATTCCCAGAATTCCGGGATTTCCATACCTGCAGGACGAGCACGAGGCGCATGAGGTCGACGATGACGTCATCGCTGGAAAATCCCACTTTTCCCAAAAAAAATACCCTAAAAATCCCTCAAAATTCCTCCAAAAAATTCCCAAAAAATCCCAAAAAATCCTCCAAAATTCCCCAAATTCCCCAAAATATTCCCAAAGATTCCCAGAATTCCGGGATTTCCGTACCTGCAGGGCGAGTACGAGGCACACGAGGTCGACGATGACGTCATCGCTAGAAAATCCCAATTTCCCCCAAAAAATACCCTAAAAATCCCCCAAAATTCCCCCAAAAAATCCCCAAAAAATCCAAAAAAATCCAAAAAAATCCCCAAAATCCCAAAAAATCCTCCAAAATTCCCAAAGTTTCCCAGAATTCCGGGAATTCCGTACCTGCAGGGCGAGCACGAGGCGCACCAGGTCGACGATGACGTCATCGCTGGCCAGCTCCAGGCTCAGCAGCGCCAGGAGTCGGAAAAGGGCCTGGAAATGTTCCCGGGAATTGTTCCCTTCCCGGGAGAGCAGGAAAATGTGCCGGAAGAGCTGCGGGCCGTGCTGTGGGAACATTCCAGAAATTCCTTGGGATTACGGGGGTGTTCCGGGAATTTTTTGGGATTTTTTGGGGGATTTTTTTTGGAATTTTTTGAGATTTTTTGGGGAAATTTTGGGGTTTTTGGGGGAATTTTTTGGGATTTTTTTGGGGATTTTTTTTTTGAATTTTGGGGATTTTTGGGGTATTTTTCTGTATATTTTTAGGAATTTTTAGGGGAAATTTTGGGAATTTTTGGGGATTTTTTTGGGTATTTTTGGGGGGTTTTTTGGGAATTTTTTTTTGAATTCTTGGGGATTTTTTGGGATTTTTTTTGGAAATTTTGGAAATTTTTTGGGAAATGTTTTGGGATTTTTGGGGGATTTTTTTGGGAATTTTTTGGGGAATTTTTGAGGGATTTTTTTTTTAATTTTTGGGGAATTTGGGGAATTTTTTGGGAATTTTGGGGGGGTTTTTTTTCGATTTTTTTTTTAATTTTGGGATTTTGGGGGTTTTTTTGGGGATTTTTTTGGAATTTTGGGG